GCAGCCTTCACCTGCCCACAGCACCACCATTACCCTACTTCTTGGGTCTCTGCTCTTCTATTTTCTACCTGCAGCCATTATTTTTTCTTCTTTTTTAGAGCCTGGGGAATTCTCTTATGCTCGCTGACTCTTTGCTTCGTTCAGGCAACACGCCATCTGTCTATTTCAGTCAGGGAGCTTGGATGTCAAAGTCACAAGCACCTGCTCGGTTTCATGAGGAATAATTGTGGTGGGGCAGGGGGTGTCTGTATTCTCAAAGGTGGACTTTGGGGCCCTTCTGATACCCCACCATCTAAACAAGGGTTCACAAGACAGTCAGCAAAGCTGGACCTCTGAGGGCAGTATGCAGTATGGGGGAAAATACTGAGATGGCTCCTGGCCCCAAGGCTTATAAGCTTTGTGACTTGGGGTGGATTGCTTACCTGAACTGCTATGAAGATGAAATGCCAGAAGATATGTTAGGTGTTGTTCATTAGGTAGCAGCAACAACTTTGGAGTCAGACAGTTGATACCCACAACTCAGTCCCACCCTTCATATCCCTAAGCCCTAGACATGTTCACAGCCCTGTTTAAGCTTCTGATTCCTTATGGGTAGACTGGGCAATAAAAAGACCTACCTTGCCACTTTGTGAGGATTCAGTGAGATGATAATAATGATGACAGTAATAGAAATAAGTCCTATTTGCTGATTGCTTATTTTATCAGTGTCCATCTAAATGCTCTATATAAATTAGCATATGTATTTATGGTCTGATAATGAATATACTGTAGTTAGATGAATGCATAAAAACAAACATTATATATTAAAAAGCAGTTGGTATCCACGTGTGCATAGAAAGAGATTTACCTTAGATGTATACAATTGCATAGAGCTCTATGTAGAAACATTGTGTGTATGTGTATATTATTTGATTTAAACTATTATTTGAATGCATAAAATATATATGAATTCATGTACATTATATAGATACATATAAAAATGATTTATCATTGAAAATTAAAAAATGGGTAGACTACTTTGGCTATATGCCAGACTAAGAGTTTTGTCTGCTTTAATACATCTCATTATCACAAAAGCCCTAAGTTAGGTACTATTATTATTCCCATTTCATAGATGAGGAAACTGAAATACAGAGGTTAGGAGCTGTTCTAAATGCCTCCTACAGATAGATTGTAGACATTTATGAAAATACATAGATTAAGTGAATGTGTTTCATAGAGTGCCTGGCAACGCATTTAAACAATGTTACCTATTATCATCATTATTGGTTTGTTCTCAACAAAAGCTGAAAGATTTGTTTCTATTGAAACATAACACTATTACTTTTAAAAGAATGCTCCAAGTTTTCACGACAATATCCCCTTGCTACCTAGAAAATATTTCCCCTTTGAGATAGTTGGTAAATTCCCTTTTTTAGGCCAGATATCTGTGATCAGTCTTCACTGTCCAGGTCACAGGAATTCAGCTTTGGGGCCCCCCTATTCTTCCCAGAGAGTGATAGGTAAGACTGGGTTCTCACAAGAGACTCCTCAAAAGTCTCAAAGAGCCCACTGTTTGTATCCAGCCCCAAGTCTACCTCCCGTCAAACTGCAAATGAGAAGTCTTGTCTACCCATGAGTTGAAGGTCTCTGATGTGTGTGCTGAGATAAACTGGTCCTCAGTCCAATGTCAAACATCAGGTTAAATCCTGAGCAACTGCACAATGAGAATTTCAGACCCTTCAGAGAATATTGTACATGTGAATTTATATACAAATCTCTCAGATATATAATATATATTTGTATACAAGGGGGAACCCCCAAAACGAATTTATTGGGAAAAAAACTGTATTTATTCTTACATGTTTAAACTTCAGTCACCTTTAAAGTACTCTCTGATGCAATATACCTGTTGAGATGCTTTTTCCACTGCTCAACAGTTTTTGAACTCGTTACTTTTTATGCCTTTTAGTGCTTCCGTCGTTCTTTGTTTTACCTCTTCCACAAAACGTTTTCCTTTAAGGACTTTTTTTCATTGGGAAAACAACACAAAAAAAGTCACTTGGTGTGAGACCAGATAAATAGGGAGGTGGGGCATAAGGGTTATACTGTTTTGGGTAAAAAACCATTGAACATGCAGCTAGGTGTGGGCAGGTGCACTTGTAAATCACCCATCATGAAATGGGCAAATGTGTTGAAAGAATATATATATATCACTGAAGCTGAATGCAGCCTCTCACACTGACACTAGCTGGTACACTGATGCCGATGGGTCCCTAGAACACTTACCTAGTGGAGGAAGCCTGTACTATATATAGACTATATCTATCTACCTATATATATAATATATGTATTATATATGTATAAAATTCTGTTTTTAGGGAGTCACCCTTCTACACACACACCCACACACACACAGTATGAACTAAAAAACAAAACAAGACACTCACCTTAAAAAAAAACAAAAAACAAGCTTTGAAGTTTTCCAACAAAAATAACAGTTTTTGACTTCCCTTATGAGACTATGATTTTCAGTCTTAGTCCTTGACTTTATTGGTGAAAAAGTAATCACAGATTTTCATGAGAAAGGTTGAGAATAAGCTTTGATCTCTCAATCAGGACATGTAAGTACATGTTCTGTGTTTGTGAATATGTGCACAGAGCCCACTCATATGAAGCACATGCATGCACACGCACATTTGTCAGCTCTCCTGGCACTGTAAGTGTTAGTCTGCAGAAAGAATCAAGCATGAACACAGTCACAGAGTTCACTGGAAAATGGTACCTCCCATAGGATCGTGGTGCTTAACCTTGGGAGTGCCTAAAACAGAGGAATCCAGGAATCATTTTCAAGAAGCTCACCAGGCTCTAGGAGAGGAAGTCTGTGGAGTCTATGTTGGAGGGATACTGTCACGGTAGTAAAGTGCTTTTGCTTGTGTGTTCACATGTATGTGCATGCATGGGAGAGTGATGTGCTCGCTAGAACTGTGCACACTTCAAAAATAACTACTTCCCAGGAAGTAGAAATAGGCTTCAGATGACATCATCGATGATAAATGTTGTCAGGGTGTTGAGTGGGAAATTGGGATGGAATAGTGTCCCAAGCTAGTTGAATGGTAGCTGTAATATTTTATTTTATTTTTTATTTGAAGAAGATTTTACTGTTTAATTAAAATATTGTCTTAAGAAATACATTATAGATGAGGGGAGGCCATGGCTACCTCTGAGGCATTGTCCACAGAAAAATAAATAACAGCCTCTACTTATGAACAGAGCATATGCATTCCATATGGGTTTCCTTTGGACTTCTTTTCTCACCTCTGCCCACACTCCAGGGGGAGGACAGGAGTAGGATGATAGCGTTTGCAGCCATTGGTTGAACAGTTGAAAAAAAATCTGTTTGCTTTTGTCATCATTATAATTTTCCTTACATTTTGCATGAAATGTATATGCTTATTTCTATTTTAGATAAGAACCTGCCTTTAGAGATTCTAATGCAGACCACTGTTTTTGTCATCTACACTTATATGTAGTATTTTTAGTGGGGAAGGGGCTCAGTTATTAGCCAATATTTTAGGAAACAATGATCCACCCCCAGTGAATTCTCCCCTCCCCTGCCACCTGGGATCATAAAGCTTGTGACTTTGTGTCAATTAATGTAGCTGTCCCTATTTTGTAAGGAAAGCACTAGATGACGAAGTTCAACATCACCACCACCATTACCAATGCCATCACTATCATTATCAATCATGGAGCAGAATTATTGGAAGAGGGCACAGACTTCAGGGTCAGACAGAGCTTCATGTGGTGTCTGCTTTCACCACTTGCTGGACATTGCACTGGGCAGATCATATGACCTAGTGTGTCATTATTTTCTTCCTTTATAAAATAAGAGTGATAGTACCTTTAAAGACCAATTGGTTCTTAAACCAATTGACACAGGGCAACAAAAGCTGATTGTAACCTGCATAGTACTATATATAAGGAATTTACAGAGAAGGGGGGATTTAATATATGTGAAATGGTATTATTTATGCTATTAAGACAACCTGCAGTGTGAAAAGAGGATTGGAGAATGAAAACCTGTACTCGGGGTTAAACCTCTCATGTCTACAGTTCTCACTGGCAATGTGAAAACATTCCCTGTTGGTTAAAGGTGCACGTTTTAGAATCCTACCCTTGTCATTTGCTGGCTGAGTGACCTTAGAGAAAGTAACCTATTTGGTGCCTCAGTGGCTTCCCCTGTGAATAATAACAGCTTACAAGCTATGAAGTACTGCTGCAAGTCCTTCACATAGATTGTTTACTTGTTCTGCAAATAACAATATTAAGAGGTAGGTGCAATGGTTGTCCTGTAGTACGGATGTGAAGACTGAGGCACCGGGCTTGGTTTCACTTACCCCATGACAGAATCAGGGTATAAACCCAGAATATCTGCTTCCAGGACCAAGAATTTTCTAACTTTTGTGTGTGTTAACAATTGGATAGGAGCACTGCGATAATTAAACAAGATAGGATTCAGATATTCTTAAGTCACTAAGTGGGGTAGATAGTTCAACCCTGATAAGATTCTTAAATTACTAAATGAAATAAACCAAGGACCCGGGATTCTTAGTTCCAAATACACACTCAATGAATGTGATCTCTAGCACCTATTATTATTTTCCTCATCAAAGATCTCCCCAAAATTTGTGTTAATAACTTGAACATATATTCATTTGAAATGCACTACTTGTTGTTTTGTATTAAAAATGCACTTTTCCATGCTGGGATATAGCTAAGCTTTCTTAAACATCTGGGTGAGTTTCACTGACTTTTTCGGAAAGATGATTAAGGAAGGAAAGCTCTTTGAACCAGAAAACCGGGCCACCTGTAGGAGGTAGCTGGTCCACTGGTGCAGGGGCAGCCTAAGGCTCTTTGGGCCGCACCCACCCCACACCCCCTGGTGGACATAAGTGCAGTCACAGGTGTGGATGAGGAAACTCACAGAAGCAAAAGGACTCAGAACACCAACTCACATGTACCTTTTCAGACTAAGCTTTTATTTTTTGATATTACAAACCAGTTTTCTTTATTCACAAACCACTGTAAGTGATATAAACACTAATTTCTAAAGACAGATATACACATTTTCTGGGTTTGCAGATTGCGTGATGTGTGTGTTAAGAAGTCACTATATGCCACACATAATATTAATCTTTTTTCCATAATTCATAATAGCAATAGTTATTTAGATAAATGAAAACATTCCAAATAAATACTGTTTAAAAAATTCAAAATGTTTGTTTACATCTCTGACATACATTTTAAAATGACTTATTGGCATCTTGGAGGAGTGCCTGGACAAAAAGATTCTGCAACATCAGATGGCACCCACTTGCTCTAAATGATTTTTATTAAAACTACATACAGTCATGGGGAAATACAGCTCATTGATGAAAATCAAAACTGCAAATGAATTTTACTTTAACCAACACAGTAAGAATTCCAGGTTTGTGATTCCAAACAATACAAATTCTGGATTTTGAAATCTGAGGCAATTGGAAGAAATCTAATTATTCTCCCTAGGCCCCTTGTTCCTACTCTCTTTCTCCCCTCTGGAGTAGGATGCCATAGCATTTTAATTATTCAATTCCTTTAAGAATATCGATCAGGCACCCATTGTCACACATTGTTTTCCAGGTGGGGGAATGAGAATGTCTTAGTGATACTATAAAACACACCCTAGCCCCTCTCCTCATCCACCCAAATACTTCTGGTGAAAAGAACATTTTTTGAATATGCGTTTGGCTGCTAAACAGTTCCCCCCCTTTTCTCTTTTAGAGATAACTATAATCTGTCTTAGATATCGAAGCTACAGAAACTTTGTTTTCAAATCTTGTGAAACTTTATTGATGGTTTAATATCCAACTGATCTTACGGCATGCACATAGGATGACAAGAGAAAGCTGGATCACAAACACTGGTTTTTTTTTTTTTTTAAGTTTTGTCTGGTTTTGTTTTAAAGCAGAGTTGTTACAGCAGATTGGCAGGTTCACAGCGGTGAGTTGATAACTTACTAAAGTGCGTGCCCTAGGGCCTGCACTGTACACATGAGGATTTAACTATGGCAGCAAAACTACTCAGGGACAGCTTGCTGCGGTTTGTTTTTTCATTTTTATTTAAATACAAAAACAGGAAGACCCGTGACAGATACCCCAACTCAGGTTAACTTGTAAACAGGACAACATGGAAATTCGAGTTCAAACAGAAGAAGTACGGACAAACTGCAATTTTTCGGCTGTGTCAGTCTGGCCCTGTGTCCAAGAAAGGGAAAGGGACTTTGTTCTTCCAGGAGGAAGAGGGTGGATCTACTTTTTTGCTTCCTTCTGACAAATGTCCTGGGCCTTGGAGATGGAACTAAAGATAATTGGTTTGAGATCATCCTCGGGTGTGTGGGAGAGGTGGAAGGGGTGGAAAGGCGAGGCTCTCACAGACTGAAAAATTGCAGATTGCTCACACAATGCAGTCATGTCTCAAAAAGTACCAAGCTGATGAAAATACCATGATTATCTCTACTCAATGATTGCAATACTTGTAAAATGCTTCTATAAATCCGAATATAATTATCATGTAATTCCATAAAAATTATATGTCTGTCTCTAACAGTTGTTCTACTAGGCTAAAACTAAAGCTTCATAGACTGTTTCTAGAACTTAACAACTCCACTGCACAGATGTAAATTTTATACATTTTTTTAACTGGTACAAAGAATTTAAGTTTTTATTACTTTCTTTTTTTGGAAAAAAAAGAAAAAAATAGAAACAGTGCTTTTTTATCACCTTTTTATTAATGTTTTTTTCCCTCCCATAATATAAAAGTCAGCAATGATATCAATAATTTATTTTACTGGAAGAAATATAAAAAGAATGCTTGTTGATGGCCTAACTAGCAGTTTTTTGCCTAAATAACTAGCAGCTGGTTAAGAAGCTGAATACTGCTGGGTGGAATGGTTTAAAGGGTGGATTTGCACAGCTTCATTCAACTCAGATGCATAAGTGCTACTTGAAGCACTCCTTTGACAACATAACATTTGGCTTGAACTGGCAATGAGTAACTTAGAATCATTGAAAAATGATTGTTGGTGCAGTGGGTCGTTTAGATTCATCAGTTACTACATTTTTTTTTTCTTTCAGCCAAATCCCAATTCCAATCCCCTCATCCCCTCCCAGCCTTCCTTTTCACAAAATAAAATAATACAGATGCAGAAAAAAATGACTACTGTAGTCACACTCTTCCCAAACAGCTGATAACCCCAATAGCTTAATATTCAGCATATATAATTCATTTACATAATATAGCACTCTGGATATGGCCCTAAACCAGTTTTTATTCATTTCTAGCATCTCTCTAGATCAACCACAAAAACTCCTACAGCCAGTAACCAAACTACGGAACCTTCAGAAATTAAAGACCCACAATATTAAAATACACAGAACAAAATATCTGAGGTATAAGATAAAAAATGTAATTTTTTTCCTCTTTTTTATTTTTGTCTTTTTTTTTTAGAGTTGCTAAAATGATGCACTACTGCATGTATTGCAATACTCAGGCCTCGGAAAGCTTCCTTTCTCCCCACATTGGAAGGTTTTTATGGTTTTGTCATTTAGTATGGAGCAAAACGGTTGTATCCCCCTCGGTATATACTAGCCTGCAATGAAGAAAGAACGAGACCCACATCATCAGCATGGCTCCTAGTCTTGGCATCAGTCAAAGGTGCAAAAGCATTCTGAAACAAAGCAATTTGAGGGGTGTGTTTTTTACATTTTCCTTTTGCAACATGTGGATCATCAAAAAGACTAATGTGAAAAATAGACACTCAAAACCAACCAAAATGGAGGCACCCCCTGCCCATCCCAGGTTATTCTTGAAGGACTAAAGGTAGGGCCAGTCCTGACTTTCCCCAATAGCTTCTTATAAAGAAATTCCCTGTAAAACCAAATTTTATCAGCCAGTCCTCTTAGCTAAAAGGACTCTGTTGCAAACTGGACAACTGAAGGATTTGCACTGTCTCTTTCTGTTTGATTGTTTCTTGGATTGATTAATTAATACAACATTCCCTTGGGGAAAAGCTCAATCTACACTCAAGGTGGAATTTAGACGATGTACTAAATGTAGTAATTCAACCCTCCTCTCCAACACATTCCTCAAGTGGACTAGGTGTTGAAGCAGAGTTGCTGAATGCAAAACTGGGATGGAAATTTAAATTTACTTCTTACTTGACTTGGCTCAGCAGTCTGTATGGAATCTGATCTTGAGAGGGGAGTTGTACAGATGAATTGCTTGATGTAATTAAGCTTGTACAAAACAATATGTTTCCAAATCACAGTTGAATTTCTATGACCAAGTTCCAGTGAATTGTCTGGCCATGGCTTTAAATGGCTATGAGGTGGCACTTAACTATTTCCTTTTTCTAAAAGTACTGGCGATTCAAATGAATGCCTATAGGGATTTGTTTTTAGGATAAGGACTGATATTCTTGATCCAAGCAGAAAACCGCATGCCAAAGCTTTGTAATGATTGCATACGCTCTCACGTGATGGGCACGTCTTACTGTACTCAAGAGTTTTAGTGCATAGAAGTTTGAACAAGTACAGGCAGATTCACCCCACCCTCACCTCCCATTTTCACCCACCCCCCTACCCACCCAAACAAAAACCCAGACCCCCCCAAAACAAAAGACAACCCCCAAACCCAGCTGATTCCTTCTAATTTCTTATGTACTAGGTACACACACAAAGTGTGTCCCTCTCTCTATTTTCTTTCCTGGGCGACTATGACTTTAAACATGAATTGTAATAGGGGAGGAGAGGCAGTCAGATTCTCAGCTGCCTGAGAGCAGAGGCCTGGAAGTGTGCAGCTTAGCTCCTCTGAAGTCTGTGCTGGGGCTGGAACCTTGGGGCTATGTGAATGAGCAGCAAGGGAGGGAAAAAAAAGAAAAAAAAAGTTCTGCATTGACACTGCATTCTGTTAGTGATGGATTTAATTATCAAAATGACTAATTATTCCATTAAGGTAAGTGCTCCGCTAGGTGAGACTTGCAAAATTAGAAATATAATAACTTACATGCACTACATTGCCAAGAAATTAAGACATTTATCAAGTTTACTGGGAGGATTAATGTGGCATTTTAGCTGCTGTTAGCACAAGAGACAAATTCAATTAAGGAAAAGTGAGAGGACGTCAACCATCAACCCATACTAAGGTCCCCACTGGGGGAAGGGAAGGGAGGCAGGAGGAAGTGAGGACAAGGAGGAATGGTACTCACCATGGCACCAACGCCGTAGGTGGGGGCTGGAGCAAGTGCGTGGTGGTAGGGGTCGGCAGCATAAACTCGTCCGTAACTGAAAGAAAAACAGAGGCAAAGGTTGATCCATAAACAGCTCCATTAGAAAGTGGGAAAAGGATATGAATAGACACTTCTCAAAAGAAGACATACAAGCAGCCAACAGATACATGATTAAATGCTCCGCCTCACACCAAGATACCACCTAACTCCAGTCAGGATGGCCATCATCAATAACTCAAAAAACAACAGCTGCAGGAGAGGATGTGGGGAAAAGGGAACACTTCTACACTGTTAGTGGAAATGTAAACTAGTACAACCTCTGTGGAAAACAGTGTTTCGATTCCTAAAAGATCTAAAAATTGATCTTCCACATGAGTCTGCAATCCTCCTGCTAGGAGTATACTCAGAGGAACTCAAATCACTGTATAAGAAAGATACCTCCACACACATGTTTATCGTAGCATTATTTACAATAGCAAAAACATGGAACCAGCCATGCTGCCCTTTGAAAGAGGACTGGATTAAAAAAATGTGGTACATATACATGATGGAACATTACTCAGTCATAAAGAAGGACAAAATTATGAACTTCGCAGCAACTTGGATGGACTTAGAGGCTATAATACTGAGTGTTCTATCACAAACAAAGAACTGAGTATCACATGTTCTCCCTCATAAGTGGACCTTGAACAACTATCATAATACTATAAGAAAGGGATTGGCAGTTGTGGGAAACTGCCAAGGGAGTGGGAAGCACACCTCATCAACAAGTGTACCTGCATAGTGAACACTTGTATACTTAACCCTGAATTGTACCACACATATTTAAAATAAAAAGTTAAAAAAAGATTGATCCATAACATGCAATTGCAATTTAATGATAACAATAATAAAATCCAAAATACCAAGACAGTGTTTAGGGGTCCTATTCATCTTGGAATAAGAAACATGTTTCATTCTCCATGTAACCTGAGAAAAGTTAATCTGTGCACAACATATTTTTTTCTTTTTTTGGTCCATTGAACTTGGCTGGTCATATTGATGTGTTTAGCATATACATGTATATAGACACACATATGTACACACACACACACACACACACACACACACACACACACACACACACACACACACACACATATGAAGAAACAACTTAAAGTGGCCTTAAGAAACCCAGCGCCCACGGAGGATATGTTAATACTCAGAAGAGTATCTTTTTCTCCTGATTTGACTGTCACCAATCAAGCGAGGCAGGGTGGATCAGAAAGGGTGAAATGAATCTGCTGTTAGTGTCCACCACCTTAGAATGGGAAAGAGCAAGAGTATTTGAATGGAGGCAACTTTGAAGTGTCCCCCATGCTCACTCTCACTCAAGAGTCGGAGCCTGATTTGATTTTGATCCTATCACCCAAGAATCTTTAACTCATTCATCTGTGGCCAGGTTCTCGGAAGGGAGGTATCTGAAACAATATATCTGAGTTACATTTACTTATTTTTCATTTTTTTCTGTCTCAACCTTGCTCCTGCCTCTACCTCCATGGCCTCCAGTACTGTACAGGCTTTAGAATAAAATTGGAGAAGGATGAAAACTAGATGCACTGGGTGCCTACTAAATGTCTGGAAGTGAACACTGCCACAAATTAGAAATTAGGGATCAGAGAGGTAAGTAAATTGCTCAAGGTCACATAGCTGGACAGAACAGATCCTTGAATTTCTCAGGATAATGTGCATGCTTGCTCCACAGTGTCACGTCCCCTTACTCGTTTGACCTACCAGGTATTATCTTGGATAGTTTGAATGGTGCTACTTTAATACAGATCAGATCTCAGTTGCAATCTTAGATTAGGTTCTCTGGAAGCAGAGCCTAACACAGAGATTCTTGTGCAAGTGATTTATTGGTGCTCTCAAGGGGAGGAGAGAGACAAGCAGATCAGAGCAAGGGAACCAAAATAGGCAAGGATGTAGTCTGAGCTAAAGAACAGCTTCCACCTGATCCTGTGAGTTTCATGCCAGAATTGGTTTCACCTGGGAGCAAGTAGGTTGGCCCATGTAAGTTAAAGATTCTCTATGGGCTTTTCAGAGGGGTGGGTGATGGACCACTGAGTTAAAGCAGCTCTCTTTGGCAGAGGAAAATTTTCTGGAGAAGGGGGCAGCTGTACTCCATTAGCAAGCAACACCTGCAGCAGCCAGGGAATTGATGCACCAGCCACTCATGGGGTCTATGTGAGTTTTTAACAGCTTTTGACTTTTTTTAAAAACAAAGAATGAAAGAACAAGGAAGGATGAAATGGTTTGACTGCACGATCAATCTTAAGCTCACCTCCTTTGTCTTATAGTCCAATTTGCATGTACTGTATCCCTGTTTTTCCCTATATTTCCTCCATATTGCTTGCCATCTTCTTTCCCATAGTTGGTGGGTAAACATGTATTGGATGGGTCTTACTTGGTAGCTCACACCAGAGTCTGGGAAGGTGAGGGATGCTGGCTGAAGGACCTTTTTACTCAGACTTCAAGTTACACCACAGATGGAAAAAAAAATGATTACACCTAGCTCGAATTGGGCATGTCCTAACAAGCCCATCTTGCCTATTTCAAAGGGCACTAAGCTCAAATCATCTAGAGGACATTTTGAATTTCAACAGTGTTCTCCTGATTTCCAGGAACAATGATATAAATAGACGGTTCTCTTGTGAGGCGAAACTCTCAGTGAAACAAACACATAGTCAACTCTTTCTTGCTTTTCACTTCTTGGGACACCCGTGGGTCTTTCTCATCAAAAATAGCCTTTAATCAAAGTTTATCTTTCTCTCTGTGAGGAAATAGAGATGTAGAGCCAGGCCAGAGGGTGTATTGAAACAAGAACAATAACATTCCTGAAGAAATAATATATTCATGGACACCTCTTGAGACCAGAGCCTCTACTCACTTAATTAAAAATAGATATTAATAGGGATAAATAAAATGATATATCACCTTCTACTAGTCTTCACAAGAAAATAAAATCTGTCATCGGTCCAGGAAAAAATCTGTTATTGGGGTTATTTTTAATGCACCTTCATTTAGCAAAGCTGGTTGCATAAATAGGTTATAAACTGCAAAGATAAATAAATCTTTGGAAACATATTAAGTGATGCCATGGCATGGTGTTCCTTCAAAATGGGTGTGAAAATATGCAAATTCAGGAAAATTATTATTATGTTTTAAATTTAGGGAATGGTTGCACTGTGGCAACAACTTCCTCTTTTGAGAGGACAACATATTGGTAGTCTGAACATATTTAATGGGGACATAGCTCCCACCTTTTCCTACTGCATACTTTAATGGTAACTCCTTATTGGGCTATAACACTGGGCATAGTTTCAACCTTTGTGGAAAACCCAGGGTAACAATTTGGCAGTATTCTCTTCCAAGGCAGAAGAAAAATACAGCAGCACTGAACTACTCCTCGCAAATGAGCAGGCTCCTTTTCTCCTCAGGGTGACCTCTACCTTCAGAATTCGATGGTTTTATTATGATTAATAAATTTCATTTCCACAGAGGAAAAGGGACCATGTCAGCTCAAACTGAAAGCAAGGAGGCTTCTTTTCAAATGCTAATTTCCAAACACGCCCTTGTGTGACACTACAATTTAGACACAAGGTTATTAGGGAAGATGTTGGCTTGAGCACTACTTTTACAGCAGTTATGCCATCCACATCAGCAATCTGATGTCCTCATAGGTGGCCAAGCACAGTCCAAAGAGAAAGTGTTGAGTCCCAGGGCCCTCAATGGGAAAATGTCTTATGAGTGCCATGTTAGAACCTGACCTGCCACACAGCCATCCTCCACACTACCCATCCCTGGCCAAAGTGGGCAAAAGTGTGATCAGATCATGATGCTTTTTATGTCCCCATAGCCCTTCCATAAGCAACTTCAGATGAAAACTTAAATGCATCCACTTCACTCCATGTACACTTATTACTACCCTAATATAGAGCACTCATAGTTCATCAAAATCAACTCAATAACAGCCATAAATCTTGTCTCCTTTGTTCGATTCTTGCCCTTTCAAACCAACAGCCATTTACATTTATGTTTAGTAAATCTCTCAAGTTTATCTAATCTATTAATTCATTCATTCATCTTTCTATCCATCTCTCCCTCCATCCATCCATTCATCCATCTAATTCAATATAAATCTAAATAGATCCATCCATTCACCCATTCACCCATCCTCTATCTAGTTCAATATAAACATAAATCTAATCCTATCACTTTCCTGCTTAAAGCCCTTCAAGGATTTTCCATTGATCCTAGAATAAAATCCAAACTTGCTTGAGTTGACTCTGCCCCTCTTCCAATCCTCATCTTCCTCCCCTTTGCCCCTTGCTTCCTGTGTGCCATGCACAGGACACATACAAATGTAATCTCTTCCTAGGGTCTTGGCATCTGTTCATCCTCCACATGAATTACTTCCTCTCACCCTTTATGTTTCAGCTCAAAGCTACTTCCCCAGAGAGATGCCTCCTTCTCTGACCAACCTTTCTTAAGGGCAGTTTCCAAACTCATCCTTACCCTTTCAAGTCATGTAGCAAATCTGCAATAGTTTTTTGAATTTATCTTGCTCCCTGACCATTTATGTTTTTCCCTCCTGTAATGACAGCCCCATGGAGGTTGGGACTGCATCTGTTTTACCCGCCTCTTTGTCCCCAGTGTTCAGTACATTGCTTGCCACAGTGCAGGTGCAAAGGGGCAAGGACAAGGGCACTGCGTGAGTAAAGGCAGCAAGAGGGACGAGTTAAGAGAAATGGGGCCTGAAAGGACACTCATACCCATAATTATGATTCCATCATTAGAATCAATCAGTAGATTCTTTCAGATATGATTCTGAGGATTCTGGGTCAATTGTTCCCAGACACATTCAAAACCCTTCAAGATGCTCAGAAGAAAAGTTTCTGGGGACTCTGGGAACACAGAGTGTGTAATTTTACATCTCTTCTGAGAGTTCACAAAACACTGACCAAGTTGCCATAAAGCTCATTGAAACCCTTTAGGAAAACACTAAACAAACAAAGA